TTAAGTCATTTTGACTCGCTCACTAGTCATATACGTTATATACCCAAAAAACCATAACATTCTCAAGAAACAGTTTGACATAAGAGGTAAGTAATGGCCAGAAACTTGTTCTTTCCTATGAAGCGTTGCTTAAAAAAAAAAAATCGAACACAATTGTTGGTCACAGGAATTAATGATCAGAAACGTTTCTTGCTTTCTTTTCCTACCACCGACATCTCTTCGAAATTTGAACAAAAATATATTACTCATTCCGAACGATTAATGGGTCCTCTTTCTTAACTTTATATCTATCTCGTTCAGAATTTTGTTCTTAAATAACTGACGCACAATCTGTATACGCCGAAGAATAGTACTAGGTTGTTCGGAAAATAATGTTCAATTTAAAAATAAACTACTTAATTATATTCTAATCTATTATTAAAAAAGTTACCCCCAAATATATCACGATATTGAGTCTCCCCCCCCACTGGGGCAACATGTGACACAAGGTCGGTTGTTTATTGTGGGCCCTCAAATATATCACTCATTCCCAATCTGTCCATTTTGTTTATTTTATATCAATCTATTTCAGAATTTAACCTAAAACATTATAAACATTTCATAGATTATTCAGATAGATAGATATGGAAAGATTGATTATGAGATAGATAGATAGATAGATAGATAGATAGATAGATAGATAGATAGATATGGAAAGAGTGAATGTTTGTTGGCGTCATGTCGGACATGAGAAAAGAAAAGACGTATTTACTTTTTTTTTATATGTGTTGAAGCTTAATCATGTTTCTGAAACTGCTGCCAACATTAAGAGAAGATCGGGAGAACGATTCGCCTGTACAGTAGAGCGCTGGTTTCTGAAGTTCCGCAGTGGGGATACGAGTCTTGAAAGAAAAATATAAGATGAATTCAAAACGCCATATTGACCATATAAATATAACTTCGATGATTTTCGATGTAGCACGAAGCCGAATGTAAGGGCCACCCAGTGATAATCTAACTCACCTCTCAGTGGTAATCGTTATAACGAGACAAGCTTGCTAAACATTAGACCACGTCAAGATGCCCAATAGAAATATAGGTAGAATATGATAACAATATCTTGCCATCCATATGTCTTATTTTACGTTTAGTTCGATAATCATTTATAACACAAAATTTACGCTATCGCCTGCCATCAAGAATTTCTTTATTCAAAGACGTGTCCAGACTCTGGGGCTGATTCTTATGAGTTGCGTTTCTCTTCGATCATTCTCAAAGACTAAAGGTCAGCAGTATTTTTTTTTTGTTTGTCAAAAAAAAAAAAAAAAAAAACAAGGCTTAAAAATAGCCGATCGAAAGAAATTTGTATCAAAAACAGCAAAAAAAAAAAAAAGACAAACTAAAAAAAACAATTATGATCGATCTTTCGATCAGCTTATAAAGCTGGAGTAGTGATTAAAAATCACGCAAGATTTCATAGATTATTCAGATAGATAGATATGGCAAGATTGATTATGAGATAGATAGATAGATAGATAGATAGATAGATAGATATGGAAAGAGTGAATATGATATAAATAAATATAGACTTATATATATATATAGAGAGAGAGTGAATACGATATAGATAATAATATATCTAGAGTGAGTATGATATAGATATATTAGGTTGGTGCAAAGATAATGACGTAATAATGTCGTTTTTTGACGTATTTTTTAACGGCAAAAACGACATTCTTACGTCATTATTTCTGCACCTACCTAATAATATAATACTGATATATATATATATATATATATATATATATATATATATATATATATATATATAGACTGACTATGATATAGATAAATATAGAGTGATATATATATATATATATTTATTTATTTATATATATATATATATGTATCACACCCCACATACACACAGATATATATATATATATATATATATATATATATATATATATCGTCATGAAAACACTCCAACGAGTGCAAAGGATCGGCTCGTCAGTGATGTTATGACTTGGGGTCATGACAAGTTTCGGGTCTTCCAACATCATACTTGTTCGTCCAAAAGACCCTACGAAAAAAATATTATATCGGCAGGCGATCCAGAAGCAAAAAATTCGCCAATCACGCAACAGATGAACACATTAAGTAACTGCCATTGGTGATCTTGAAATTACAAGCGACCACTCATTAACGACTTACATCACTTCCTCTGAAGCCAAGACGATAATAAAAAAATATCGAAATGATAGCATGTTCGTCTTTTTTTCCATCTTAGGTCCACCACGCGGAAAGACCCTCATTCTCAACGAACAGTTTGACATAACAGGTAAGTAATGGGAAGAAAAGTTTCCTTTCATATGAAACGTTGCTTCACAAAAAAATAAATAAAATAAAATAAAAAAAAAATATAGAACAAATTCGTTGGTCTTAGGAACTGTGATATATATCTTACTTATTATAAAACGCAGATTGTGTGTGTGTGTGTGTGTGTCTGTAACGTTTATATATTGGATCGAATTTCCTACATATTTTAGCCGATTTCAACAAAACTTCACAGGACTACATAAAATTACCTTGTGGTGGTTCTTACGGCGCCGAAAATGGGAAAAACACATTGTTTTTTTAAACAAAATCAATTTGAAAACACGATTAAGACACATCGTGAGAATGAAAGGGGGACAACTCACCCACGAAAATGTAAACAAAAGAGCATAGCATGATGAAAAAAAGCCGAACTTGACGAAAACAAAATTTTATCGTCTAATGTTCATATTATTATTAAAGAGGAAAGATCAAAGTATTTTGGGGGTATTTTTTTTTTACATTTTTTAATCGTTCTTAGCACGTATGAAATTTTCGTTAAAAATATTGTTTTTTTTTGGTCAAAATTTAGTGCCGTTTTTTCAATTTGTTACAAGGCAGATCAATAAGGCATTGGTTCTATTTGAAATTAATTCAATATTTAAAAGAAAGTATTAAGAAATAATTTAAAAATGACGACGTAAGAAATCTGATAGACAAAAAACAACAATATTTCGAAGATGATAATTATTAAGGAAAGAACACAGTACTTGTAATAAATTAATAAACCCAAATAAAGTTAATATTTTTTGTATTAGAAACAACGAGTGGAAAATATATTCAAATCAGAATTCTAATTATGAATCACCACAAGAAAAATATGCAATTTTTTTTTACTGTATTCAATAAATAAAAATCATAAATTGTAAAAGATTACAGAGAAAGGCTACCTACATTTTTTCAACCGATTTCAACAAAACTTCACACATTTTTTTGGTAGGATAGCAAGGTGAACAAGGCGGGAAAAGTTTTTTTTCAAAACAAGTGTAATTTTTTTATTAAATGGAAAACAAGTAGATTATCTCGTGGTACGAGATCAGGGAAAATGTTCGCGCCAAAATAGGATAGCAAGATGAACAAGGGGAAAAGTTTTTCTTTTTTTTTTTTTAAAGTTCTGGAAAAAGGAACTCCTTAACACGAGGTGTAGATGTGCACAGATAAAAAAAGTACTTACTGTGGATTTGGGTATTGTAAGTGTGTGTAGTGTTTTTGTGTTTTTTTGTTTTTATATCCTTTTTTGTTCAGGTTCACGGTCGTGAGAAAGTTCAGTCATCTCAGATTTGGGATCAGGCATTGAATTTGCTGCTAAAAATTATTTACGACGAGCCAAAAGGGACGAAGACTTATTTGTTGTTGGTTGCATCGTCTTGAAGAAAATTATTTGCGACGAGCCAAAAGGGATGAAAAATTATTTGTTGTCAGTAAGATATCCCTGTCTGTATTTAAGGTTGACTGACGAGGAATAAATGAGTCAACTTCATGGATCGAAATTTTTAGTCCGACTGAACTCAAACGATTAGTTTGTCCGTGACATCAGAGAAAAACATGGGAAAAACGGTAATTTAAATTTGTTAGATTAGTGACATCAGCAGTGACATCATAAAACGACAATAACTTGTAATTAGTTTTAAATAACTAAAGAAAAGGTTTAATACTATATTTAGCTTAACGAGAAAGGAAGGGGTGTAATCAGTGGACGCGGGCGCACACACGCACAAGTGTGGAAGGAAGGGAGGAAAACTCGCGCGCGCGTAAAACGTAGATGGAATTACTGTATTATTTCCATAAATCATAACGATTGTAAACAATGTTTTCGTTTGAATTTGGGTTTGACCAATTCGTAAAAAAAAAAAATAATTAAGACATGCGTGTCCGTCAACCTTAAACAATAATCTTTGTCAATTTTATTTTTCAGTCTTTATGATCGTCCATACTTGATCTATCGCTTACTGTTACATCCCCGGGCAACGCCGGGCTGAACTGCTAGTATATATATAAATATGCGTATATATGAGCAGAATATCTTCATTCAAACATGTTTCATTGAATAATATAGATATATCCTGCCTATCTATTTTTATACTGATCCTTTCCATTTCTGCAACCACATTCTTGATGTTAATGATTTAAGATGTAATTCATCAAGGAAGGCGGCGTATTTTTTTCAACACATTTACTTTTTAGCTTTAACAAAATCAACTTCAGGGGTAAATTACAAAAGACAAAATTATTGTAACTGCAATAAAATCCAGCATTCGATATATATATATATATATATATATATATATATATATATATATATATATATATATATATATATATCATGAGCCCACATAATCTAAATATCTAGATTCCCACATAACACTAAACACAGCTACATTCATTACACACACACACACACACACACACACACACACACACACACACATATATATATATATATATATGTATATATTTTCATTGGGGCAGGTATTTTTTCGTAATGTACGTGTGCGTGATTGTGAGCGCTTGTGCACCCGTTTGCGCGTATGTACGTACGTGTAGAATGTCGTGGTTATTTGTCCTTTTCATCTTGTTTTTCCACTTTACTCTCACTCCCTACTGGTTTCTTTACTTATTCTCTTCTTTTTCTTTCCTTTCACTAAATGTACTCCTTATCTATCTATCTATCTATCTATCTAAAGTCTCTTCATTATCTATCTATCTCTGGACCGATGGGTAAATTGCCGCCATTTTATATTTTAATTCGCGCGTGCGCGCTGATTTTTTATTTTATTTTGTCGAGTACATAGTAGGGTCAGTTGGGCACCGTCTGTGAGAGAAAAAAAGCACCATGGCAGAATTCAAACCACCAGAAATTTAGAAGACTGCTTGGCATTCACGAAAGTTACCTAAATATGAACATTTTAGAGTGTTTGGATGTCAATCTGAGGACAGTGCTTAGGAAAGATTTGGATGAGTCTAATGGTGATTACGAAGATACGGTAGCTCGGAAAACTCCCACATATCGTTCTGATGAGAAGAACTCCCGAATATGTTGGTGATGGCCACAGACTCAACACGGAAGCCTACATCAAGTACCTTGAAGAGTTATTGCTGCACTGGGTCAAGAGGTTGGATTCTGAAAGACCGTATGCCTGGCAATAGAACTCTGCAATATGCCACACAAGCAGGAGAACCCAATTAGACAATTTCTGCAACCACACCACCCGTTACATCTGACCACCAAACTCCCAAGACTGCAATTTCCTTGATTATTATGTGTAGGGCGAAGTTGAACGAGAGACGAAAATTCCTTCTAACACTAAAGATCAACTGAAGGCAAAGATTATGGCAGTAATCATCAACTTAAACAAGGAGACCGTCCAGAAAAGTTGTAGTCGTCTTGAAGCTAATGCCGATTTTATGGAATAAATTTACTCTTTAGTATTTAAAGATATTTTTGTGTCATTTTTGGTAAATATATCTGTTAAAATGAGATGTTAGTGTTATTTTCATTTTTGCATAATTTAAACGACATTTTAAGCATCGCATCCTATAGACGCAGACAAACAAGTGTGTGTTTGTATGTCATTAATTTGTGGGAGTGGGTCTATTAGAATTTCGTTTGGGGAAAACGAGTTTGTTGATGAAGGGAGAGTTCTGGTCGACCAAAGAGATGTCCACTCCTTGCAGAGAGAATTAACAATTTGTCATTTCATCTTCACTTAAACGACGAGTGGCGTTTAGTTTGGAGTAGTCTCTTCCGATCTTAAGCCTGGCCTTGCTGCCATTTCATCCCCACCACCGCCACCGGCGCCATCAGTCAACTTTGTATTCACTCATCTTCGCTATTATTCTAATCGTACCAATCGACACGACCTTAAAATCAAATAAAATCTGTCTGGAACTTCCCCACCTATCATTTGTCTGGTCGGATCGAGATCAGCTTGTTCGAGTTTAGCGATTTCTATCATTATCTATCTATCTATCTATCTATCTATCTATCTATCTCAGACTTCATAAATATCTATCTCAGACTTCAAATCTATCTATCTATCTATCTATCTATCTATCTATCTATCTATCTATCTATCTATCTATCTATCTATTTCAGTCTGTTCATATCTATCTATCTATCTATTTCAGTCTGTTCATATCTATCTATCTATCTGTCATACCTGACGTACCTATTCTATTATTAAGAGACTCTCCCACACATAATAAGTAGTAGTAGTAGTAGCGGTCGCCAGTGGGGCTCAGTGGTGTTGAGCGAGTCAGACGATATCGGACATTGAAGTACCAAACATCACAACTAGATTACTGCGTCATTAACTCTTATTTGAAGTTCCTAACGTTTTGTACGTCGAACCTAATTTAGGACGACTTATTGAAATACAAGCCTCCACTGTGAAAACTAACTCTACAACACTATCTATCTATCTATCTATCTATCTATCTATCTATCTATCTCATTCTGTTCATATCTATCTATCTATCTATCTATCTATCTATCTATCTATCTATCTATCTATCTATTTCAGTCTGTTCATATCTATCTATCTGTCATACCTGACGTACCTATTCGATTATTAAGAGACTCTCCCACACATAATATGTAGTAGTAGTAGTAGCGGTCGCCAGTGGGGCTCAGTGGTGTTGAGCGAGTCAGACGATATCGGACATTGAAGTACCAAATATCACAACTAGATTACTGCGTCATTAACTCTTATTTGAAGTTCCTAACGTTTTGTACGTCGAACCTAATTTAGGACGACTTATTGAAATACAAGCCCCCACTGTGAAAACTAACTCTACAACACTATCTATCTATCTATCTATCTATCTATCTATCTATCTCATTCTGTTCATATCTATCTATCTATCTATTTCAATCTGTTCATTTCTATTTCAGTCTTTTCATATCTATCTATCTATCTATCTATCTATCTATCTATCTATCTATCTAAGTTTCCTCATATCTTCCTCAGTCATTTCATATCTATCCATCCCAGTTTACTCATATCTCTCTCTCCACACACACACACACACACACACACACACACATACATATATATATATATATATTAAGACAATTTTATGTTTATACATTCTTTTTTTTATAGATACATATATTTAAGTAAATAATAAACAGTATTAACATTTACCGGCTTGAATGTCCGAGAAATTGTCATAGAAAATATGCGTCCTCCGACAGGAATCGAACCTGTATCCTACACGGAACCGTCATATAGTCCGACGTACTATATATATATATATATATATATATATATATATATATATATATATATATATATATATATATATATATATATATATATATATATATATATATATATATATATATATATATATATGGTGACCAAAAACAACGGGATATTTTTAACAATCCAATAAAACCAAGAGTGATGGAAGAAAAATATTTTATTCATAATAATTGAAACCTTAAAAGATGCCATTTAAGAAATAATGATGGAATTTTCATTTTTTAATAATTACGTCCTGTAGATGGCGTCCTCCTGTACGAATGCATTCTTGAAATCTGGTGTTGAGATTCCTCATTGACTGCTGCAACATTTCTGCTGGGATACTGTGAATTTCATTTTGAATTCTAAATGCCGAAATGTTTACTTGCTCAAGGTCACTGTCTCGCAGTGTTGCCACTTGCTCATGTCTGGCAATACGCACTTAAAAAATTCCCGTTTTTTTTGGGTCACCCTGTATTAATTAGTACATATATATCTACTTACATTTTGAGGTGCGAATTAAGTTTCATTGTAGAACGCTGCCTTATATATGGTCGTTTGATTTATCTACCCCCATAACTATATATATATATATGTGTGTATGTGTTTTTTCATATATATCTCAGTTTGCCCATATCCACCTATCGCAGTCTGCTCATATCTATCTATCTATCTATCTATCTATCTATCTATCTATCTATCTCAGTCTGTTCCTATCTATCTATCTCAGTCTGTTCCTATCTATCTATATCAGTCTGTTCGTATCTATCTATCTATCTATCTATGTCAGTCAGTTCATATCCTATCTATCTATCTATCTATCTATCTATCTATCTATCTAAATTAGTTGTTGACTTTACTGTTAAACAAGCTTTAAACAAATCAGTCAACAACTAGTTTTACGTATATTTTTTGTACAATTCCTTTCAAGTGATTAAATTTCCAACATAGCCAGGCCGATTCCAATTAGATGGTAACCGCACACTCTTCCCCATGACCAAGCAATCACTTCATAAAAGAAAGATCTGTGATTCCCACGTGGTACATCTGCCTAATTGTCTCTATCCCATCAGATCTTCCGTAATTGACGCAAGCAAAACGCATTCCTAATGTCTCTGATACCAAGTTATGCCGTCCGATTGGAAAATGTCAATTTTTCTCTGTTATCTCTTGTCCTTTGTTTCTTATTACGTCCAAACGCATCAATCTGCTGAAATACAAATACCATTCCACGCTGTTTCCATAACAACCAGACTGGAATTGCAAAATCTGCACATGCGCATACGCTTTCCCTCCTACTGAGCACGCGCAAACTTACACAAACTCAAACGCGTTTTCTTTCTCTCCCAAACTAACAATAATTTTAATTTTTCTTTTTTTTTTTTTTTTTTTCTCCCAGACATTTTCATTGGACGTGTTCGTTCCTTTTTCGATATCTCGTTTTATTTCTGTGTCTTCCATCTCTAGTTGCCCATCATTTTAATTTATAGCTATTACTTCAAGGGTGTGTGTCTACGTATGTGCAAGTTTAGGCGTGTTTTGATGTTTCTAAATGTGTATATAGGCGCCTGTGTATCTGTACGTTTGAATTTGTGTGTTGGCATGTGTATGTGTGCCTATGCATGCGTGTGGCACCTTTATTTACACCTGTCTTGGTTTATTTTTCTTCTTTTTTTTTTCTTTTTAAATATCTACCGTCATCTCCCCCTCTCTCTCTCTCTCTGTTGTTCATTTAGCCTCTCTCTTTCGTTTCGTCTTTTCTTCTGTCTTATCTCTTTTGTTTGCCTCCAGTTCCCCCTCTCTTCTATTTCCCATCCTCTCTATCCTTCTCTTTTCCTCATTCTCTTTTCTATTTTGTTCGATCTCTCCGCTAACTTTTTCGCCCTCTTTGACCATTCCCTTATTTTCTGCTTTAGTTATATTTTTTTTTAATCCAGGAACGATATTTATTTCTTTTATTTTGTTTCTTTCGTTTTCACCTTCTTTGTTTCAGCAAATCATTATTGAAACGGAAAATCAAATTAGCATATTGTTTATTTTTTTTTTTTTTTACTTGAAAATAATCAATATTAGAAAAGTTATTTAATCCCCGGCAATAAAAAAATTCTTGAAAAGCGGGCAGATCTGACATTTGTCATGAAGTCACCTTCGATATTTTCTGCTCTATCAAATACAAGACGTGAGCTGCCTGCCAAAGCGTTAAATATTAGACTCCAAAAAGCAAAAAGCTTGGATCTACTCAGTCTTCACTTGCCAGACATGACACAATCCATCGTTAAAAAAGACTGGAAGAAAATGGACAGTTCTTTCTACGGCCACAAATATTATCTCATTCCGCCTACCATACTAGGCGTACTTCCATATGACGTTGAAACACCGGTTTCCTCCGATTATCGAAGTTAAGCAACGCCGAGTCTGATCAGTATCTAGAATAGTGACCGCTTGGGAATACCAGATACTGTGAGTGTGCGAGTGGTGTAAATGTTAACGGCTCGGAATGTGAAATCGGACAGCCGAATTCGGCTCGAATTACGGTCGGGTTCGTTCCAGTAAATCCCGCGCAAATACCCTGAGAAAAGAGTAGAACTTGTATCTAAAAATCATTATTATCTACAAATATTGTTAATAAAATATTCCCTCGAAAAACATCCTTACAATGCAAAAATATGTTTCAACGTTAAATAAGCAACGGAACAGTTAAAAAAATCAACCAATCCATCCATGTCAACTTCTATCTTAACAAGAATGAAAAAAGATTAGAAATGAATTATTCCTGAGCTGGTGCAGTATTCATAGACTTGTGCAGGAATATTGTGCCAAGACAGAAATACCTGACCAGCCTAGAAATAATGTACTGGTGCAGTATTTCTGCGCTGGTGCAGTATTCTTTGGCTAATGCAGTATTCCTGGAATGGTGCAGTATTGCTGGACTTGTGCAGTATTATTGCGTTGGTGCAGTATTCCTGGGCAGGTGCTATATTCCTCGGTTTGTGCAGTATTCCTGGGCTGGTGCGGTATTACTCGGATTATGCAGTATTTCTGGGCTGGTGAGTTATTCCTGGGTAAGTGCAGTATTCCTTTCCTGGGGCGGTATTCCTGAGCTGGTGAGTTATTTATGGGCTGGTGAATTATCCCTGGGCTGGTTCGGTATTCCTATACTGGTTCCGTATTTCTGTACAGGTGCCGTATTCCCGGGCTGGTTACAAGAAAAAAAAGCTGATTAGTTGGAATTATTCTTCAAGGGCAGCATCAGACGTATAGAACAGTTACGACCGTCTTTGACTGATATTCCATGCCTTTAAAATTTGCGAACTTGTCTCTCTCCGAATACCTAATTATGTGTGATTTGCTTTGAATTCTTGGGGAAAAAGTACACCGGTTTCCGAATTTTTTTTTCCAAGGTTATGAGCTATAAATTTTTATCCTTCTCTTAGATTCCCATTCGAGTCTAAAGAAGCTAACTTACCCTTTTAAGTAACTCATAGTTGTGGAAGAAGCGATGCATTAAAACCTTTTCAACACGTATTAGTGTGATAGTGAATACAGCCTCCTAGGACGGAATATGATTCACATCATTCCCTGAACGCTGATAACAGTAATGCTTTCCACATATTGTTTGATGCTCCTGTTTCAACGCATCGCTTATAAAGTGCAGTTGATTAGATTAATCCAAGGAATTTACGGCAGTAAGTAAAAAGTGTCCCAGAATTAACTATTTCAATGAAATCGGGTGATTTTTTAAAATATAACTGACGCAATTCTATGCTTATGACTCAACTATGATGTGAAACAAATAGATTCATAAATCTTATTTCAAAACTTTGTTAAAAATTTTCAACATGTGTCTGTAAATTTCAAATTTATCCTTAGCGTTGTGAAACACGTTGTGAAATATTTCGGGAGTTATCACCTGCAATGATTATTGATTGCTTTTTTTAAACTCAGCTAAACTATTGATCTTCTGGAGATAAATATTGTTCCTTTATGAAACCCTCATACAAAGAACTACAGGGTTGAGTGGTGCTCAACAAAGATGCGTTCTTGTGTATTCATTATTAATAGGGCTCTGAAATGGAATGAAAATAAAACTGTACAAAAAATAATAAAAGTTATACCGTTTTAAACAAATTTGGAAAATTATACACTTCTAACAGCAAGGCCAAGAGGTTTTGAGGAGCGTGGAACAACCTCTTAGTTGCTGGTGTTCCCAGGTCTAACCTGACCCGCGTTGATAACACCTGTTAGTGTCTCAGCTATGGATAAATAGTTAACCCCCAATCTGGGGTAATAACACTATGAAATTATAAAAACAGGTTTTGTAAAAAATTATTACCAGCAATTAATTTTTTACGGAAGATATTATTACATTATTGCCAGCAATATACTTTTGAAAAAAAATATTAGCAGCAATATATTTTTGAAGAAAAGATTCCAGAGTTACATTACTGAAGAAAATTTTTTTTTACCAGGAATAGAAACCTTGTCGGCATTCAATAAACCATTGAGATTGATATGCCGTAAAACAAACTAATATAGTGATGTGGCACAAGGGTGAAAGTAGGGGGCACACAGTGAGGATCGAACTCACTACTCATTCGTAATTGTTATAGCGAGACAAGATTAACCATTACACCACCTCGAGGTGCATCCAAAAAAAGCAAACCAATATATACTGAGATAGATAGATAAATAGATATTAGCAAATTGAGATAGATAGATAGATAGATAGATAGATAGATAGATAGATAAAAAAAAATATTACCAGCAATAAAAATCTTGTCGGCATTAAATAACCCATTTAGGTTGATATGCCGTAGAACAAACCAAAACAAACCAATATATATTGAGATAGATAGATAGATAGATAGATAGATAAAAAAATATATTACCAGCAATAAAAATCTTGTCGGCATTAAATAACCCATTGAGGTTGATATGTAGTAAAACAAACCAAACCAAAATTAAACAATTTCACTGAAATAGTTCCAGTAGGCTAATATATGTGGCCGTTTCGTTTTTCGTTCATTGGGGACATTTTTCGCCACATTGAAAAATAAATTTATAATTCTTTTGATCGACAAAATTAAACGTATTCAGTCGGAACGTTCTTACCGAAAATTGTCATAATATCCGAGAAAATAAAAAAAAACGCCCAAGTCGCTCATTTAATGCAGAGTTCTTCTTTTTTAACCATTTCACACCAAGCAAGGTGATAATGCCACTAAGACGCAAAGGGTAACTGAGGTCGAAAGGAAAGCAGTATCCTGAAGACAGAAGATGGTAACTGACGTTGAATCTAATTGTTGAATATTGTAGTTGGCAGGAAAATAAGAGATCGGCAAGGAGATCGACAGGCGAGAAGTGTGAGAAAAGAACCTATTAGAATAGAACTTACGTTTATGTCTAGCTAATTCCATAGTAAAACAATGAGACCTAATTGCCAATCTAGTAGTACGTTGAAATTCACGCGGTTGAGTTATCAACGAGGAAAGCTTTTTAGAACAAATGCCATGGAAATATTTATAGAAAGGACCGAGGGAAGTCTTATCACAACGTTGAGAGAGTGAGTGAGGTCAAGATGCCAGTTCAGGACCGTCAACCTTACAGAACCGCTGAATCTTGTCGAGAATATCGTGATATATAGCACAAGACCAGATATGGCAACACGGACCAATATTAGATTTATAAATGTGCAAGATGAATTCTGACGAAAGAAAAATATAATTACTCCACTTTATGTCGGTAGAATACATGAGACCAAGAAGCTGCAATGACCTACTCTCCTGGAGGTTAGCATCAGCCATGTTAATGAAAGGTGAAAATCGTTCACTATGAGGATTAA